CCACATGCCAGCCAGCCCTGCCCCCTGGTGGGCTGAGCTTGCCACACACATACACATAAATAAATTAATTAATTAATTAAAAAAAAAAGACCTCACACTTGTCAGGCAGGTGCTGTGCCAGTGAGCTATATCACTGGCCCCTAGCACAAACTCTTGCATACTCAACATCTAGCCACATTGTCCAAACCTCCTAGGACTTCGTGCTTTGAGAAGCAGGGAACCATCTCTGACTATGGACAGGCCCTAGGATGGTCTGTTTAGGGCAGACTCCTGGGGAAGTCTCTCTGAATGCCTGACCTCAGGAGAGTAGAGGGACTAGGAAAGAATCTTCCATGGAGTGTGGAAGCACAGATTCAGTGGTGCCTGTCTCTGTCTCTGTCTGTGTCCTCTCATTTTGGTCTTTCTGAGATAGGGTCTTGCTATGCAGTTCAGATCTCACTACTGAGCTCACTTTATAGCACAGGCTGGTCACAAGCTCCCAGTGATCCTCCTGCCCCAGCCTACCCAGTGCTGGGATTACAAGCATGTGCCACCACATCCCACTTACCTGCCTGCCACTCCTTTTTTGTTTTTTAACCTGCCAGTCTTGACTTGGCTTTCCCATCTATGAAATGTGAACACAGAATGCCCCTCCTTAAATTCCCAGCTAGCTCCATAAGCCTTCTGGCTTCTACCTTCCTGCAGGAGGAAGCAGAGGCATTGTTAGCACTTCAGGGCCGGCTTCAGGAGGCCCAGGATACCACAGAAGCCCTCCGAGTGCAGGTGGGGTTGGGGCCTGGGATGAGAAAAACTGGGATGTTGGGAGGAGGTATCTGGGACAGGACCTGGTAAGTGCCTGTTTCCTCAGTGACAGGGGTGGGGTTGGGGGGGTGGGGCAGCTGGGGGTGCAGGAGGTGCAGCTGCAGGGCCTTCGAGGGGCCCTTCAGCAGCTCCAGCAGGAGACAGAGCAGAACTGTAGACGGGAACTGCAGCAGGTGCATGGGCAGCTGGCAGGTAAGGACTGGGGAAGGGGGCTCATGGAAGGGCCTAGAGTCTGGGCTTTCCCTCCCAATGACCTTCTCCTTCCAGGATTACGGGCACGAATGGCCAGCCTGCGCCAAGGCTGTGGGGACCTCCGAGGATTGGTCAGCACCTTTACCCAGAGCTGTCAGGGTTCGCTGAGTGAGGCCAGGGGCCAGGTCAGGACCCCTTGCCTTCTAGGACCTCCTCTGTGGGAAGCCTATTCACCGTCCTGGGAGTATTTCTCCTTTCTTGGCTCTGGGGAGCTGTGTATACTAGTGGGTTGGTTGTAGACTCTGGGACCAGAACAACTCCTGGATGGCTGTATGACCTCACTTCTGTTCTCTTCCAAGCTGATAGCTCCTTAGAAACCCAGAGACAGATGAAAGGGTATTCTTGTCTATTCCAGGTCCACTGGATAATGTCCCCAAGGGGCCACCAAAAGGTGTAGACTACCATAATTGGCCATACAATGGCTCCATTTTTTTTCTCAGTACCCCATTTCACTGAGAGCTATTTGGACCCGTCTTCACCTTTATATCCTTGTTCTCTCAGGTATCCTGGGCCCTGGGGGCACTGTCAGCAGGAGGTTCTGGGACTCAGCTCCCTGATGAACATCAGGGGTCCCCAACTGGATGCCAAGGAAGGCTGCTGGAACTCAAGGGTATGGTGAATTTGGAAGGTGGTGCAGTAAGAAGGTCAGGCTGGAGGAAGTGGATCCTTTTGGTGCTTCAGGATCAAGTAGGCAATCTGTCTCATTCCCACTGTAGGAAATATCCGTGTGTTGTGTCGGTTGAGACCAGGGACACCCTCCAGCCTAGTGAGTGTGGAGCCTGGGCCAGGGGGCACCGTTACCACCTGTTATCGAGGGCGCCAGCGTCGCTTCTGCCTAGACTGGGTCTTCCCTCCAGATGCTAGCCAGGAAGAGGTGAGAGGCACCTTTTGTTCAGAATCCCCTGAAATCTGGAAGAAGCTCATTTCCTCCTACCTTGTCTGAAGGACGGAGGGTGACTGAGTTCCAGGCGGGAAGGGAAGGGAGCTCAATTCTCTGTATTCCCCATTTCTGTACTTCCACCTCCATCTAGTCATGGACTTAATCCCACTTTAGCCATCAACCAAGACTCTAAGCAGAGGTGACAGCTACCTAGTCACTAGCAACCTTCTGTCAAGAAAGCTAGCCATGTTGTTCAAAAGGTTGCTGTGTCCCATGTGCCAACCAGATGACTATTTCGGTCCCATCTGCAGCTCAGCCACTTTGCTGAACTTTCAGTGTGGGAATAAAACAATCATGGCTGGTCACTATCCCTTACAACCCTGAATCTACCTTGGGCTCATCCTCTATGTGCCAAGTGCTGTTGTGGCCCTCTAGGACACATTCCCTATTAACCCTCAAGAAGTGTCACAAGGGCCAGGGAGAGATAGCTTGCCTGGCAAATACAAGGTCCTGAGTTCAATCCCCAGTACAAAAAAAAAAAAAAAAAAAAAGTCACAGAGAAAAATGACACAGAAGAGAAGCATAGAAAAGAGTAATTTGCTTCAGTCACACTCTACCTTTGGATCAGATGGTCAAGCCCTACACCTGGCCTCTTGAACTCTGCTACCCAGGGCTCCTAAGTATGCATCAGGATTCCACACTCTCAGCCTATTTTCTTTTCGTTTTCATGAAGCCAGAGGGTGTTGCTGGGACATCCAGAGATCTCTGAAGCCACCTTGCAGGGAAATTACACTCTGCTCTTAACCTTGTTCACTGAACTTCCCACCCTTCTAGATCCTAACTAGGAACCCAAGGGCGGGGCTCAGAACACCTCTCCCCATTCCCCCGCCTCCAGGTCTTCAGGGAGCTAGAGCCAGCTGTACTGTCCTGCCTCCGAGGCTATAGTGTCTGCATCTTCACCTATGGTCAGACCGGGACTGGGAAGACCTACAGCATGGAGGTGGGGTGGGGGCCACACCTGGGGGGAAAGGCTCCAGGGGTGGATGTGAACCCAAAGTGGCACCCCCACACTGTTCTCAGGGCCCACCTGAAGACCCTGGCATAGCTCCTAGGGCCCTGCAGTCCTTGTTTCGGGAAATGGGGGCTGGAGGGCAGCACCGAGTGACCCTTAGCATGGTGGAGATCTACAATGAGGCAGTCAGGTCAGGCTTCTTTTCTTTTCTTTGCCCTGGCCCAGGATCTATTCAAGTACTGCTAGGGTCCAGGAACGAAGCCTTTCCTTTTTTCCTCAGGGACCTTTTGGCCCCAGGACCCCCGGAGCGCTTGGCAGTGAGGCAGGGCCCAGGCAGCCAGGGGGGCATCCAGGTGGCTGGCCTCACCCACTGGGACGTGCCAAACCTGGAGACCCTGCACCAGGTAGGGCTGCCTTCCAAGCCTCCTAACTGCCACCTTGGGCCTTGGAGTATCCCTGGCAACCCATTTGGTCCCGCCCTCCAGATGCTGAGTGTGGGGAGGAGCAACAGGGCCACTGCAGCCACTGCCATGAATACACGCAGCTCTCGATCTCATGCTCTGGTTACTCTGACGCTACGGGCAGCGTACCCCCCAAGAGGCCCTAGCCCTGCAGGCACACTGCACCTGGTGGACCTAGCAGGATCTGAGCGTGCATGGAAGGCAGGGTTGGCCAGTGCGCCACGAGGTGACTCGAACAGTGCCCAGCGTCTGCGGGAAGCACAGACCATCAATCGCTCACTGCTGGCCCTGGGAGGTGTGATGGCTGCACTGCGCTCCCGCAGGCCACATGTGCCCTTCCGCGACTCGCAGCTCACGCGTCTGCTGCAGCCAGCACTTGGCCCAGGGGCTACTGCGGTGCTCCTACTCCAGGTGGGGCCAGTGGCGGTGCGGGCATGGGGTACCTAGAGTGTGCGTGTGTGCAGGGCCTGCCCACTAGCACTGCTTTCTGCAGATCTCCACGCGGCTGGAGGACCTTGGGGAGACTGTCTGCTCACTTAAGTTCGCCCAGCGAGTGGGTCAAGTGGAGCTGGGCCCTGCCCGGCGCCAGAAGACCCCAAGATCCGGGACACCCTCCTCCCTCAGCACTGATACCCCACTCACTGAGACCGCCTGCACCCCTATACCCTCTCCAGGCAGCCAAAGTCCCAGCCCCCATGGGGACTCTGGCCTGGTCCTTGCGCCTCCAGGGGACCAGCCCCCTTAGTTCTAGGTTGCAGGGCTGTGGAAGGGGCTTGGGGTACCCCTCTGCTGGCAGAGGCAGCTTAAGAGCTCCTTCACCGCATCTCCCAGGACAACCTGCTTGACCTCTGGAGGATAATTGCCCCCCAATCTCCTCTCCCCCTGACTAGAGAAAAGTGTTAAGCCTGGAGAAATGGTTGTGCCCCACCCCATTGGGCCAGAGGCCCACAGCTCCCTCCTTATCACCATTTGCTCTTATCACAGCACACAGCGGGAGATCCCAGAGCTACAGGAGCCAGACCCCAGCCAAGTGGCTTCCCAAGTCACCACTTCTGCCCCCAAAAATCAGACTTGACATTAAAACACTGTAAATTTCTTTACTGTTATCTTCCCCACCATCTTCACCCCAAGACTATGTAGGGTCTAGTTTTTATTCCCGTACCCCTTTCCCAAAAGGTGCTACCTCCTTCCCAGACAGTTGAGGGAGGCAGGACTTCAGGCTGGACCTACCATTAGGCTCTCCCTCCCCCAGCCTGGAGCCAGCAAGGGGAGGGGACAGATGGTGATGGATAGATAAATGGACGGTGGTGGGCCTGAAAGTGAGACCAAGAAGGTCTACTCCAGGCTGAGCCCTCCTCCAGTTTACCCCTGGGTGTGGGGGAAGCAGGGGCATGACTGACCTGGTCCAGGGTAGTTGGGCTGAAACCCTTTGTGGGGTGGCCCAATAAACATTGTGGACTCTCACCAAGGCTGGTATTTCAAGGCTGTTGTGAATTCTGCAAATATTCTCCTAGCCTAACCGAGGCTCCTTATCAAACTGGGCATGCTGGGTGGGGGTAGCCCCTGTCCTGAGAGCTTCACAGACTGTACCAGGAGAACAGCCAGCCTGGGGCAGGGGCAGCCAAGTCCCGAGGGTGGCTGAGCCACACATCATAGATGCTCTTGTTGGGTGGTACTCCCTGAAAGAGGGTGTCTAGATCCCAGAGCAGCCCGGGGGAAGCCCCAGACTCGGGAGCAACCCCCCAATAGGCTGGGCTGGTTGAAGGTGGGCATTGAGGACAGGAGGTGGGTGGCAGAGGGGCCAACGGCATTACCACATTGGGAGTGTAAATGGGCAAGTAGGAGGTGGGCAGCTGTCCCCACAAGGAGGTCCGGCATTCCCCACTGGGCAGCTCCCCGGGGTCTACACTACCCTGTAATACATGGAGGGGCCAAGTTGTGGGTTGTGGGGATATTGCTGAGGGCCCAATGACTGCTCCTTGGGAACTGTCCCCTTCCACTGTTGTGGGCCCCTGGAGAGAGCAGAGGGGCCACAGAGGCCTCTCAGAGGAGGAAAGTGGTGGAGTATGCACCACCTCCTCCCCACTGCCCCCCAAGCCTGCCTGAGCTGGGCTGTTCTGTCTAGCCAGGTTAGGCTGCTGGGGCCAGGGTGCCTCCTTTTGAGGCTGCCCTAGCAGGGACTTGATGCTGAATCCTTCGCTGGGCTGTGGTAGAGGACTGGGTGTCCTATAGGGCCGGCCGTGCAGCACATAGGGGCTTAGGTCCTTGGCGAAGGCTCTGCATGTGCCCCGGTTCTGCCAGCGCCGGCATAGGGCTGTGTTCTGCAGGCGCAGCGCCTCTGCTGGGATCAGGCTCACGTCTACTGCCCAGAAGTTGCCTTTGGCTTGGGGCTTCGAAGGGTCCTTGGGCACCTGGGGGGTGGTGGGCTTGGGTGGGACTGTCCAACCCCAGATGCTCAGGGACTCCACAACCACCCAGCCCTGGGGCTCAGACCCTCACTTGCCGCACCTTGTGGAAGCATCGGTTGGAGGAAAGGTTGTGGCGAATGGAGTCCTTCCAGCCCTCGTAGTCATCCCTGAAGAAGGGGAAAACGGCCTGGACCTGCCGGATGATCTGAAACCAAGCAGCGGTCGGCGCCATGAGCCGGGTGGGTGGTAACACCCCTCCCCCACAGCCAGGCAACTCCCACCCCCATGGAGAAACACTTATGTGCCTGAGGGCAATTTGGGGGTTCCAAGGCCTGAACCCCTCAACTTCCACACTGGTAGAGCTGGGTGTGCAGTTGAGGTTCAGCTGAAACCTGGGGCAGGTGAGGAAAGGAGCGACCAGGAGTGTGGGAATGTGGGGATCCTCTCACCTGGGCCAGCTTCAGCCTGCGGGAGGGTGCAGCCTGAATCACCAGGGCGATCATGGCCAAGTAGGTGTACGGGGGCTTGTCATGTCGCAGGTATCTCTTCTTCCTCCTCTTGGGGGGCTTCGAGGGTGACCCTGCCTCAAGGAGCCCCAGGCGGGAGTTGCTGCAGGGCCCCATGTGTGTGTGGGGGCTGGCAGTGTGGTCCAAAGCTTGGCCCAGGGCTGCCAGGGTGTGTGGCAAGTTTGGGCCAGAGCCTGAGGCCGGGTCAGAGCCGGCGGGCCAGGCCCTTTATCATTCTTATGGAAGGGGGAGGAGAGAGAGGAAGAGGCTGTGGGGGAGGGGAGCATGCAAGGACTGCCACAATTAGCAGGTTTCGGTTAATCTGAAAGGGAGGGGCAGAGAGGATTCCAATGGGGACTTCTGGTGACCTCTTGAAGCCACCATACCATTCCTGGCTGCCTTTGGGTGCTGGCATCTCCTGTGAGGTAAAAGGAAAATCTTCAAGGGGTTTGTGGCCTGGGATTGCTTTGCCTGGGTCAGGGCTCAAGCTCCCACCTAAAAGAATGGGAGTAACTTGTCCTTACCAAGTTGCTGAGAAGGGTTATCTGAATCCTAGGAGGCTTCCTGGAGGAAGAGGCCATGAAGCCTCCACCCCAGGAGCAAAGGGGAGCTACAACTGCTTTGCTTTGAGTGATTTTCCCAAGAGTATGCTACGGGAGCCCAGGTGGGCCTTTCACCTCTTCCTGACCATCTGTGGCTCTGTCTCTGGGATCAGTCAGGATATATGTTCTGTACTTGCCCCCAAACCAAGGTTCTCACACTGGGCAAGTCGGCACAAGGAGGTATATGGGCCAGAGCATCATCAGTGGAGGTTGGTGCTGGTAGCCTGGCACTGCACTCCCAGACCACAAGGAGCCATTTAACACTATTCTGAGAACTGAGATTTTCTTGTGCAGCCCTTACCCTTTTTACCCTGAAAGGGCTGAAAAGGTGCTGCATGCAGTGGGTGTCCACTACCTGGAGGAAGTCAGGAAAGAGATGCACCCCTAGTATATTGGAGGATGTAGCTTGGGTCAAGTGGGGGACTATAGGGCACCACTGTTCCTGCCCACCCCACCTTGGGTGGGTTGGCCCTTTCCCTGATGATCTGAAACTCTCAAAGACCTCATCTGGCTTCTTCTGCACTCATGTCACTCTTTTAACTCAGGACTTCCCTGTTCTCTTTGCCAGGCTAAAAGCCTATATAGCCTTTCAGCCTCATTCGGAGCGCATCATTCTCTCCTGGAGGCGGAGCTCTCCACTGCTCCTGCCCAGCTCCTCCCTTTTCCCCCTCCTTCTCGCCGCTGTCTGCACCCACCGCCCGTTTTCCTGCCCCTACCCCTGCAGTTCCCCATTTCTCTGGTGCAGTTCTGGCTTTTTTGCCTTGGCACACGCAACTGCCTCCGCCCACCCATAGTGCCTCTGCTTTGAACAGTGAATTCCTCCGATCCTTCCTTCAAAGCCCAGCATATAGATAGGTGACTATCCTTCCAAGAATATTTGACCACCTGTCCGTCCCACCCCTCCCGGGCCCAGAGGAAGTCTGCGCAGCAGAGAGGGTCAAAGAACATGCCCCAGCCGCCTCCAAGGCTTTCCTGGTATAAGTCCCGCCCCTGGGCAAGAGCTCCATAGGCCCCGCTTCGGGCTCCCACAGGTCACCGCGGCTTCCGCTGCGGCCCGGAAGTGTCGCGTTGCCATGGCGAGGCTCCGCGCGGGGCCCGCCCCCGCGATGCCTACAGAAGCCAGGCGCTGAGTGACCAGCGTGGGGGCCCGACCGGACTCTGGGCGCGATCGCGCACCGAGCTTGCGAGGTTGCAGGTGAGGCGCGGCCTGCAGGCGGAGGATGGGGAGCAGGCCGTGTGGGGCGGGCTCCTACTGAGTCGGCGAAGGGTCGAGCGAGCGCGCCGGAGGAGCAGGCCGGGCCGGGCAGCGAGTGCAGAGATCGGGAGACGCTTCGAGAAGAGGCCGCCTTTGGAGGCTCGCGGATCTAAGTGTGAAGGCGTTGGGTTCTTCCAACCTGTTGGTCAGGTGGGCCTTGCCAGAACGGAGTTTATTTTTAGGTGAAGACATTCAGACCTCAGAAGAAAACAGGATTTGCTCAGGTGTAGTGTGTATTTGTAGTCGGGGAGAGGATAAATTGGGGCGTCTCGGGGATTGAAGTGCCCTAGCTTCTAAGTGGGCTCTGAGGCTCTTTGCACCTCATAGACTGGGGTCAGGCGAGAGTATGAACCGATCAGGGCTGAGCAGATTTGGGCGTCTGGCTGAGCCTCAGAGGCTCGGGGCACGATGGAGTTAGTTTCCACGGGATTAAATTAGGGGAGAAGGCTGTGTGAAAGAGTCACCCAGGTTCAGAGGCTCCAGAGCGAGGGTAGTCATCCCCACAGCTCTGTGCTTTCCAGTCCTCCTGGTTGTACTTGGAGGTGCAGGTGCGGGAGGTGGTCTTCTCAAACTTTCTGTAGCCTAGCAGTGAGCTTTTCTGGACGCTCCCCCACTTTATTTTCTCTGGTAGGATTGGGATTTCCCTGGGAGGCGTGTCTTATCTGTAACAGCCAGTTTCCGCTGAAGGCCACCTAATTTACTTCAGGGACTTAGAGCCACCGCTTGCCCAGCTCGGGAACTCCAGCACAGGGAGCACGGAGGTCAGTTGTCTGAGGGGTGGTGGATGGCTGGTGGGATCTTCTTACATGCTGGTTCCATGTTTGTCACTGTGATAAAAGTTCAGGGGCCGGGGAGATGGCTCAGTAGAATAAGCGCTTCCCTGGCAAGCACAAGGACCTGAGTTCAATCCCCGGTTCCGCAAAGAAAAAAAAAAAAAAAAAGAAAGAAAGAAAGAAAGAAAGAAAGAAAAGAATGACACAGAAAGGGGGGAATAAAAAGTCAATGGAATGGAAGGTGATCAGTGTTTCTACCTAGGTGGGTCAGAATTTTGTATTGTCATCATAAGGGGAAAGGCACAATTAGGACAGCGTGGGTCTAATATTAGAAAAGAGTAATGGGGTGATTTTGTTATTGTGTTGCTTACTAATCACACAGTGTACATTACATATATGCACGTGTACAACTTGGCACAATTAAAAATGATTCTCTCAAGAACATTTAAAATTTATATGCGGACATATGTCTGAGAAGACGACAAAGCAAAGCTTTTTAAATTTTATCTCTAAAGAGCTAGGATAGCTTGGTAACTTCTGGTTAAGAGAATGAGAAATAAGGAGATACTCTGGCTATACCTCCAGATGTTGAAGCCATTGAGGAGGATGGAGGGAAGAGGAGACTAGGAATGAAAGAGAAGGTATGTCTCTTGAGAAGAGCATCACAAACTATACAATTAAGAAAATGATGTAGTTTTTCAATTGATAATCTACACTTACAGCAAATACTCTGTTGGGTTTTCTTTTGTGTGTGGTACTGGGGATCAAACGGACCTTGTGCTTGCCAGGCAGGCACCTTTTTTTTTTTTTTTTTTGGCAGAACTGGGGATTGAACTCAGGCCCTTGCACTTGCCAGGCAAGCGCTTACTTAACTGAGCTATCTCCCTGGCCGCATAGGCAGGCACTTAGGCTGCTGAGCTATCTCCCCAGCCCACAACAAATACTCTGAGCGGTGAATTCTGTTGATCAGTATATGCATTGACTTTCGCTAGGGGGAGGAATTTAGAGGGGTTTTATTTTTTTCTTTTTTTTAGCCTTTTATTTATTTATTTGGTACAGGGTCTCATATGCAGCTCAGCTCAGACTCATAGCTGGGATTACAGGTGTGTGCCACCATGACTGGTTTTGGTGGCTGGCTCGGTGAGGAGCCAGCATGGCATGTGGCTCCGATTGAAGAGATTTTCCTCTGGAGAATGTGCCTATTTTAAGTGGACTCTTTGTTCAGCTTTGTAATTTCCACCATAATCCAGTCACAGAACATTTCCATCACCTCCAGCAGTTCACTGTTCTCAGTCCTCATTGAACCTGGGTCCTTGCACCTGCCAGGCAGGCTCTTAGACTGCTGAGCTATCTCGCCAGCCCATAGATTATTATTTTTTTTTTAAATTAATTTATTAGGGGGCCGGGGAGATGGCTCGGTGGAATATGCACTTCCCTGGCAAGTGCAAGGGCCTGAGTTCA